TCTACGACGGACGGGGCGTGGGTGGACGAGGCTGTGTTGGGCTTGCCTGATTCGATGCTGAGCCCTGCTGCTGGTTCTTGTGGTTCTGGGCGGCGAGGGCCTGGATGGCCTGGTTGAGGATCTGCTGTGGGGGTCTGTTCTGATTCTGCGGTCGTGCCTGCGTCGCACCAGCCATGGGCTGGGCACCTTGAGCTTGCTGCTGCTGAGCCTGCTTGTACAGCTGAATCGCCAGCCCATTGATCTGCTCGGGCGACAGGTTCGAGGATGCCAACGAAATCGCCAGCTGCTGCTGCAGAGCCTGGATCGTCGCCGGCATCCCAGCCGCGGTATTGGCATTGCCATTGTTGGCATTGGCAGGTCGCGCTTGTTGCTGAGCCTTGGGCCCGGCACCCGTGGGGACGGCAGGCGGTCGTTGCTGAACTCCAATCCCGTTGGCGCCCGGTCGAACCACGAACTGCTGCGCTTGTCCGGCTTGGGGAGGACGCATTTGGGCTTGGGCCTGCACCTGCGCCGCCTGTCGCTGCTGCTGCTGGTACATCTGCAGAGCTGCCGCTTGCGCCTGTGCCTGTGCCTGGGCCTGGGCCTGGGCCTGCATGTTGGGCGGCCTCGCCTGGTTGGCTTGCATCGCATTCGCCTGCTGCTGCTGCTGTTGTTGCTGCTGCATCAGCTGAAACTGCGCCTGAGCCTGCGCGTTGGGCAGCTGGAATGCCATCCCTTGCGCGCCTGCCGCATTGCCCTGCACGCCCTGCTGCGCCGCAGCCACCGCTGCCAACTGATTCCTCAACTGCTGCTGCTGCGCTGCCGCCGTAGCCGCTGCCAACTGCGCATGGTACTGCTGCTGCTGTTGCGGTGTGAGCGTAGCAAGCTGCTGCTGCGTCAGCGGTCCTACCGCCGGCCGAACCTGGCCCATTCCAGCCGATTGGCCCAACTGCTGATTCTGCTGCTGCTGCTGCTGCTGCCTCTGCTGCTGTTGGATTTGCGCGTACAGATTCTGCATCTGCGCAGCCTGCGTCGCTTGGAACTGCGACTGCAGCTGAGCCGGAACCTGCTGCTGCTGCTGCTGCTGTTGCTGGCCCGGCTGGGTCTGCGGCACCTGCACCGCTTGCGCGACCTGGCCCTGCTGAGTTTGCTGCTGCGGCTGCTGCCCCTGAAGTTGGCCCGCAGCTTTCTGCTGCACCTGTCCGAGCTGTCCGGGCTGAGGAAGAGCTGTGCTGCCAGGGGGCAGGCTGAGTGCCGCAGGTCCGCTGGCACCTGTGCTCGCTACCGCATTGGCGGGCTTGCCGGCCTGCGCGGGCGTCGTGGCGGCTGCGGCCCCTGCGCCGCCCGACTGCTGCGCCGCCATCCGCTGTGCCTGTGCTTGCTGCGCCAAGAGCCGCTGCTGTTGCTGCTGTTGCTGTTGGAATGCCAACTGCGCACGCTGCTGTTCGTAATACTGTCGCAGCGCCGCCTGGTCCCGCTCCGCTTTCAGCGCGCTGAGAGACTGGGGCGTGATGGCCGGCCCCGCCTTGATCTGCGCATGCGTCTCGTGCGTGTTGAGGTTGACCTTCTTGGTCTGCTGCGTCTGCTGTGCCTGCTTGCTCGCCTCGCGTCGCTTTGCCGACTTGCGCATGACCTCCATCAGGTTGCTTCGACGCAGCTTTCTCTTGGAACCGTCGTGCTTGCCTCCCACCTTCTTGCCTTGCTTGTCGCGCTTCGAGGCTGATGCGTCGTCTTTTCCATCGCCCTTCTTGTCGGTCTCGGCGGCGGCGGGAAGTTGAGGAGGGCCCGGCGGCGGTTTGCCCTCGTCGGCGGCCTGCTGAATGCGCTTGCAACGGTCATAGCAATCCCAAGGCTCGCGCTTGTCTGTCGCGGTGTTGAGGCGCGTCGAATTGAACAAGTCGGCGACGAGCGACCAGTTGTTGTGGTACTGCTTGGCGAGCGTCATGAGGTAGCTGTCCTCGTCCGAGGTCCACGTGAACAGCGCCGCACGCGCATCGGGCTGAGCGGGCTCGGGGGGCACGCCCGAAGCTGCATTGGCCGTCTCTTTGGACGCACGGTTGTTCTTGCGCGCGAACAACAGCGAGCCAGGCAAGGGCGGCAGCCCCGTGTCAGCACCGTCAGCCACACCGCGCAGAGGGTCGGACTGCTCGGCAGCCACAATCCAGTCGCTGTCGGGTAGCCATCGTCCTTCCGCCCGGTTCTTCGAGGGCTCCAGCGTGCTGACGAGCAGAGGCCGGGAATCGAGCAGCTTGGTCACGTGCGTCAAGCGAGGCGGCTGGTTCAGACTGCCCTCGTCCCACCTTCGGTCGCTCTTGCTGCTGGGATCGGGGAGCGAGACCCCGCCGTACAGCGGCAGCTCGGGGAACATCTTGCTGAATGAGAGAGCATCGGGCTCGAGCAGGTCGGCAGTCGTGGACAGATCTCCCACTTCGATCCCGAGAAGCGCAGCCGCAGCTTCGGGATCCAGCGATTCGAGAAGCGCCGCGGGCGAGACTATGGTCGTTGTGACGTTGGTGGAGAAGATCGGAGCACGAAGAGTAGCCAGTAGCTGCTGCGGCAGTTCTGCCGTCAGTGTAGTCTCTGCGAGTTTGGGGTCGGAACGCAGAGCCCGAGGTGCTTTCTCGGCGGCGCCGTTTGCCGCTTCGGCGGCTGGGTCCGCAGTTGAAGTCGCTGTTGCAGGCTGACTTTGCTGAGGATCGACGCTGAGGGCAGGCATTGGCTGTGACTTGCCCAGCGGCTCACGGACAACTTCAACCTCTGGCGCCTTGGAGGGCTCGCCAGATACGAGCGCTGCCGTGGCAGCTTCAACGTCGTCTGCATCCGCATCTGCATCGTCGTCGTCCCCATCGGCGTCCATCTCTACTGCACGTACCGACGCGGCCTGATCCGCGGTCTCGACCGCGTCCTCGACAGCCTCGGTGAGAGCTCCATCGGCCTCTGCATCGGCTTCCATCGTGACATCCGCGACGTCTCCGCCCGGCGCCTGTGACTCCGCGAGCTGGGCCTTTTGCTCGCTTGTGGCCACAGACTCAGACTGCGCTCGATCCGGAACATCAGCGTCCGGCATCTCCGAGTCCTGGCTGGCCTCTACGATGGGCGGAGCAGGGCTCGAAGCATCCGCACCGGTGCGTTCCTGGGTGCCAGCGTGTTGTTCGATGTTGTCCGACACAGTCCGACGACGGTAGGGGCGATGTACCGGAACACAGAAGGAAGCACGCTCGGTGACCGTGCGTGCGCGGTGCCAGGCTGCGATCTCGCGGGCGAGATGGAACGCGACCGCCATTTTCCAGCGTCTCTCCTCGCGGAAATCGGTCTGAAGCCACTTCATCTCCTCTAAGAGGTGGTCCCAATGCGCCTTGCGTACGACTGGGCCCTTTTGCTTCTTTGGCTGTCGGAAGCTCCACTCGCCCTGTGCCTTGAGCTTTTCGATCCTCGCCATGGCGCGGACGAAGCGCTGCTCGTTGAAGGCGACCTTCCAGTCGGTTGTCAACAAGCACTTGTCGGCCTTGCCCACCATTCCTGCTCCTGGCGACGCGCGCGCGCGCACGTACCATCGATACAGGTCGGCCTGACCCGACCCGGCAGGCCCGATCTTGGCGGCAGCAACGCTCGAGTACGAGTTGGCGTTTGAGTGGCCCGTCATGCTTGCCACTTTTCGACCACTGCGATGGTGGATGGCGCCGCCGCCAACGCCAGCTCCAGTGATGCGACGTGTGGGATCCGGAGGGAGAGGGCGAAGCGATGCGGCGTACGTGACGGATAGCGGATTCGGCGCAAGTACCTGCAAAGTCGGGTGCAGCTGGGGTTCGGGGACTTCTTCTGGCATGGTAGGGACCACCATCGGCGAAGGCGGAATACGAAGCCCGGCGGATTGAGTGGTAGCGTTGCGCGAAAGGCCAGGCACCGGAGAGACCGCCTTGTCCAACGCGCTGCTTGCCTTCTTAGACGGTGAATCCGTCTTATCGACGGATTCCACCTTGATGATTGTTGAGGTGGCATTGCCGTCTTTGGCGACAGAGTCGAGAGGGAGGGATTCCGGTCCAGCTGTTATCGCAGGAAGGGCACCGGAAACGACTGGAGGAATCGGGGTGGTGGATTCGATGACAAAGCTCGGCACTTGACCGGGCTGCAAAGGTGCGACGCGAACGCCTTGGCTGTCTGCCGTGGTGATGGTGAGCGGCTTGATCTTCGCAACACCCTCGGCGATTGCTCGGGTCTGAACCGCAGCGGCAGCACGCGCAACAGCCTGACTGCGATGCAGGGCTGCTTCCCTCTGATGCTCGATTTCCTTCTGCTTTTCGCGCGACGTTTCGCCGGTTGGTGGTGCAGTCGCGCTCGTAGGGGTCGGAGGAGGTGCAACCTCTACTGGTCCCGTTTTGAGTTCACGCGACACGAGCTGTCGGATAGCTCCTGGACCCTTCATGTCGTAATCCTGGATGGAAACCTGCTTGTCGAGCGAGAGGCGATGTCGAGTCAGGAACGATTGAAAATCTTCGCTAGTGTCGTCCTCGGCGACCTCCATGCTCTGCCCAAGCTTCCACGGGCTCCCTGACACTTCCTCCTTGTCGAAGTTCTGCGACATAAACAGCATCTCGCGCAGGCTTGCTCGGTGAGACGACTCGAGGTCTTTCAACTGCTGTTGACGCTGTTCGAGGAAGGCGGCTCTGAGGTCGTCCAACGTGACCATGCTCGTAGATGCGAGTGCATTCCATTCGTTCGGATCGAGCAAAGTGGCGGAAAGAGCGACGGTGGCTGCAGCTGCTATCGAGGCTGGATGATTCGCCGTGACATGCTGCGGCTGTAGCTGAGGCGGTATTGGTTGTGCTTGCTGCTGCTGCTGCTGCTGCT